CTGAGATGCATTGACTGGGACTCTAACCCAGTTCTCCCATGTGGAAAGTGAGAATTCTACCATCCAGGCACCACAATAACCAGCAATCCCCCTCAGACACTTAGCACTGATACAATAAAGTTCTCTAATCACATCATCCATGTTAAACATATCAATCCCCCTTATAAATGTCCCTTATAGCTTCTTCCCCGCTCCCACACCAGAATCTGGTCAGAAAACCAGATCTTGCATCTGGTAGTCATGTCTCTTGATTTCAACTCTGAGGGACCCTACGTGACAGAGCAGAACTCTCCCATTGGATCGTCTTGGCTGAGATCTTTATTAAAGCAGATTCCAGGTCTCTCTCCTGTGGAGTAGCTAGTAGGTTTGAACTGTGAGCCTATTGGTTAGCAGCCTAGTGCTTAACCATTGTATCACCAGGGCTCCCTGTCTGAGCTAGTCCCAACTCAGAGTGACTGTCTCTCTATGTTCAACAACAAAACACTGCTCGCCTGGTCCTGTGCCGTCCCCACAATCGTTCCAATGTTTGAGCCCACTGTATCACCACTGTATCAGTCCATCTTGTTGAGGCTCCTCCTCTGTTTCCCTCTACTTTTTTTTTTTTAATGTTTTATTGTGAATTATATGATAGTTTACATGGGAGAACTTTAGTTTTACATTCATTCTATCATTGTTTCCCTCTACTTTATCCAGCATGATGTCATTCTCCAGGAAGAGTCCCCTCTTGATGACGCGTCCTTGTCTCTTAGTCTCCCTGCCTGTTTGGTGTTTCCTGACACTTAAGCTGCTTTGGGGGCCTGGTGTGGCACTGTCGGATAAGTACTAGACTGATAACCACAAGGCTGCTGGTTCAAACCCACCAGCCACTCCTCGGACCTGACTCGATGGCACTTAGCAACCAGTTGCCTCGCAGAATTCCTACTCTAACGCTAGTCGACAAGATGTCTGAGCTCTGGTACAGACTGGGAATCAGCAGGTGGATTTCACTCTAGAACTGTATGAATGATCCTTGACCTTCACCCACGACCACTGTGGGGAGCTACAGCCTTGTTGGACCCACACCTCCACTAGAATGAGATCACCCACACAAGACATGTGCTGTCCCTTGCCTTGACAGAGAGCCAGTCTTGTTCTTGACAGCATCCACCCACAATTCCTGTCCTCGCCCCCCACTGCCCACCCCAAGGGAGATGGCAAGAGGTGCTAGTCATATACATTTGCCCTCCAGACTCGCTGGAGGGGGCAGAGAGGAAAGGAAGATAGAGGGAAGGGAAGGGAGGGGGTACGGCCTCAGCCTGTGCCCATCTCCTCTGCCCTCCCTGGTGGTCTCTAGTCCTCACAGCTCTCCTTCTCAGCCCTTCACACCACTGAGCTCCCTGCCCCCTGTGGTGCCCAGCACGGGGGCTGAGGGGGCTGGATCCCAGGCAACAGCTGAAGGCTGCGTCCCTGGCCTGCAGCTCCTTCCCAATAATCAGCTTTGTGAGTCAGAGACACAGCTGTCCTGGACCCCAGGGCCTTGTGGAGGATGAGATTAGCAGAGAAGGGTTACTAGGAATGGAGGGGGAGGGGAGAGGTGAGTTAAGCGTCAGCTGCGTCTGGGGCAAGCTCAGCCCTCCCTCTCTCAAGCTACAGCCATCTAGTGAACATTCAGGAGGCGGCTGGCCCAGGCCTTGGATGCCTGAGTTATTTCTCCCAGGGGTCCTCCCATCTGCCCGCCCCCTGAGCTCAGGAGCCAGCGTTGTGCTAACGAAGCCTTGGGCAGTAGAATGAACAGAAGACAGCACCTAGCCCCACTCTTGGGAATGCCTAAGTATATTTTAAGACAACTTCTTCACAGCTGCTTTAATTAGGAGTCCTCGAGTGGTGTGAATGATGAATGAGCTCGGCTGCTGAGAGGTTGGAGGTTCAAGTCCATCTAGAGGTGCCTCGAAAGAAAGTCCTGGCAATCCATGTGGGAAAACTGCATTGAAAACCCTGCGGAGTCTGGTTCTGCTCTAAGCCACATGGGACCTTCATGAATCAACTTGACACAGCAGGTTTCTTTCCCCTTAGCTGATCCCAGCCCCTGGGGCGGTAGATGGGGCAATGGGGATCTCTGTGTCCCCCACAGACAGCACCTAACCTGGTCTCATGCACAGTAAGGACTTGAGAAGGTTTGCCAGCTCCAGTTGAGGGGGCTGAGGGCAAGAACTCCATGTTAGGAAACGGATTTCAATGTACAGGATGCTGAGTGGTCTTCAGGGAGAAGAGACTCAAGCCCCCAACTGCCCTCACCAGCAGCACGTATGGAGTGCGGGAACGTCCAGCTACGCACCAGGCCTGGGAAGGCCCTGCCCCTTTCAAAGCACCCAGTCACCTCCAGCGAATGTGTGTTCGCCCCAGTAGGGGCATGTTATCCTAGGACTCTCTCATGGTGTTTAAGTAGCATGAACCCATTACAGTAGATACCACATAGGCTGGGAGCTCGAAAACCAAAAAAGCCAAAATAAACCCACTGCCTCAAGTCAATTCCGACCCATGCCAACCCCGTGAATACAGAAGAGAACTGCTCGAAGGATTTCTTGACTCTAATCTTTACAGAAAGGCACTTTGGTAGCATAGTGGTTACGAATCGGGCTGCGAACCTCAGGGTCAGCAATTTGAAACTACCAGCTGTTCCGTGGGAGAAAGATGAGACTTTCTGCTCCTGTAAAGATTTACAGCCTCAGAAACCCTGCACAGGGTCGCTATGAGTCAGAACCGACTCCACGGCACGTAACAACAACAACAACAATCTTTATAGAAGCAGACTGCCACGCCTTTCTTACATGGCACTGGCGGCTGGGGTTTGAATGGCAAGAGCTCACAAATATTCTAGGAGATGTAGCCCAGAGGACCAAGTTTTGGTGGAACCCCACTAAACGCCATTTTGAACTTCAGAATCTGACAAATGTGTAAGCTATAGGGACGCGTAGAAGTCAGAAGACTGTCCCTACACCTCTGCTTCTTCAAAGCTGTGAGAGCAGGCAGGCATCTCAAATGTGGAAGAGAGGCCTGGAAAATCAGCATGTGCTGAAACCCAACCTGCCCCTGACACCAGGAGATGGGTGAACTGGAAGCAAGAACAGTAGGGTCCTGGTTCTGAATGAAGAGCCCAGACGTAGCCCCCTCTGCTGTACTGGCTAGCATCCACCTCTAATGACACAATTAGTCACCCACTTGTCAAGCCTGCTGGAGGGGGTCTGGCAGAAAGAAAGGCCTCCTCCCACTCTTGGCTTTTTTCCAATGCCCATTGTCCCCAGCAAAGGACACAGTGGACATTTTGAAGACACACTGACATAGTACCAAAGCATCATGCTCTCATGATTTTGAGCGTCTGACGACTTGCCTTCCAAAGCAAGGCACTGGATAGGGGCTCAGGACCAGTGACCATGGCCTAGCCTGGCCAAGGGTGCTGAATCCTGGCAACATGGGCTTCCCACCTGACAAGGTTTCCAATCTAAAGAGAGATCATTAAAAAAAAAAAAAAAAAAGTCCAGGCGAGCCAGTGAGATGCTTGGAGATCTCAAAGACTCGGATTGGATGTTCTGAATGAAGACCAGATTCAGTGGGGGTCAGAAGGGATCTAAGGGTAACCAGGGGTGGGAGGGCTAACTTGGGGCCCCCAGCGATGCTGGAGGTGGGGGCACATTGTACAGGCCAGATTTCCCTGCAATCCTGGCGGCATGGGTAGAAGTTCCCGAAGCTTGGAAGTGACAATAAGAACCATTGGGCCGTTTTGTGTGCGTCCCTACACCTGACTCTGGAACTTGGATTGAAAAGAAACAACAGCTCTTCCTATCTTCCTCTGCAAATACTGCTACTGCCACATCCAGACAATTCTCACTGCAGGCCTCAAGGGGTGACACACACCGGCTGACTCCAGGAAACTGGCTAGAGGGTGAGGGGTGGGCTGGTCGTTAGCCTGGGGTGATGTGCGGGTAAGGTGAGACCCGGAAAAGACACTCAAGAAAACAGAGCAGAACTCCAAAGGGCTCGTCCCGGCGACACTTTCGGGGCGGCTGGGACCACTGATGGAATCCCCACCCGCGTGTGTGTCCTACCTGCCTGGCTTCCATGGCCTCCTCCACCTCCGTCAGCGCCGCCGCGGGCTCCTCCAGTCCCTCCTCGGGCGCGGCCGCGGGCTCCGGGGCTCTGGGCTGCGGTGGTTGGGAAGCCTCGGCCGGGGGCTCCAGGGACACCGGAGGTGCGGGGGCGGCCCCACGTCGCACCAGCAGCCAAGCAAGTAGCAGCGCTAGCACAGTGACCAGCGCGGGCAGCGCCGACAGCAGCTCGACTGGCGCCTCCATCGCGCCCGCCTGCTGCCCGAGTGGCCGCCGGGGACCCGAGCTTGCCCGCCTGCCTTGCCCCGCCCCAGGGCGGAGCCCCTGCTCGCCCCGCCCCGGCCGCCACGGGCCCTGGGGAAACTGGGATTGAGGGGACGAGCGCCCTTATGCCCTGGGGAGGCTCAATAAGGGGCAGCCCGGGCGGTGGGCTGGGCTACCTGAGTTTGGCCGCCCTTACTTAGAAGCCACCTCTATCTTGAGCCTGAGCCAGAAGATGGTGTTTAGAAAATGATGAAGATGGAAATGCAATGCTAGTTTTGGAAGGTAAAGACATGTAAGCCCACGGAGGTTGTCGCGAATAAGGCAATGAGAACCAAGTGCGGAGGGGTTAGTACCGCTTCCATCCTGAGTCTGCCCAGGCGCTGGCTCGCTTCAGGCTCGCGATTCCAGCAGAAGCTTCCCAATATGTCGAAGCGTCCGGTGTCTGGGTCAACACTGTTTCTTCTGGTGTCCACTTTTCCTCTTCCCACTCTTCTGAACTCTATGGGGCGGGCGTGTGGCCGGGACAGGAAGTCTACTGTGTTTGTTTTTCCAGAATCTCCCAGCGCCCTGTTGTGAAGCAGTGTTGAGTTGATATAAACGCTTTGTAAGAAACCCTATTTTTTCTACGGGAGCCCACCCCGACTCTCTTAAGTAATTTCGACTAAACACTGGGCAGGTGCTGCCAAACGTTTGGCTGAATGTTGAAAAAAGCCAGTGTTCCAGTTTCTGCACTTGTTTTGTGTTGTTAAGTGCCGTCCGTTTCAGCTCATAGGGACTTGTATAGGGTTTCCGAGGAGCACCTGGTGGATTTGAACCGCCGACCTTGTGGTTCAAACCGACATTGCTGCCAACTGCTTATCCTACGTCACACCAGGACTTCTGGTTAAGCGTTTTTCAATGCTATCGAGTTTTGTGACTCACACGAGACCCTGTACAGAATATCCCAGACTGTACATCTGTGCAAGCGCAGAATGCCTCATGTTTCTCCCATAGTGCACTCAAATTGCCGACCCGGTGATAGACCGTCCAGTGCTTATCCTACAGAGCCACCACGCTCTCCAGCTTTTTCACTTAATACTTTTTAAATGCAGAATTCCAGTGTCCTGTGGTATCTACCGAGAAGCTAGTTTTGAACAATTCTTCCTAAATCGAAGATTCGAGCCAGGCTGCCTCCATGACAGACAGGTCCCAGACACTGAGATTATACATTTCCTTTACAGTGGGGTTGAGGCAAAGGTGGCTACCTCCGGGCTACCCAAGTGGCACTTGGCTACAGAGACTGTTAGCCAAAATGTTTTGCCCTGATTCTGCCTGTGCACATTGTTTCCCGGTGTTATTTTTAGTAGGACTTCTGAGTTGGAACTGACTCCAAGGCATTTACCAACAACTCTATATGGAGTCCTGGTGTGGCCCTGTGGAGTCAGTACTGCAGTGCTAACCACAAAGTTGGCAGTTCAAACCCACCAGTCGCTCACTGGAAACACTACCCAGGGTGGCTATGAGTCAGATGGGACTCAACGTACTTCCCAACTACTGTATATGGAAGCAGCCCTGGTGGCACAGTGGGTTAAGCACTGAGATAACTGCAAGGCCTACAGATGAATGAGACCATCGGCTCCTATAAAGACATCCAGTCTGGGGAACCCTAAGGCACAGTTCTACTATCCTACAAGGCTTCTGTGAGCGGGCAGTGGTTTCTTTATAGTCTATGGGAAGGCGCTCTGAAGTTGACCAAAAGGTTAGGGGTTCAAACGTAGCAGCTGCTCCCCGGGGGAAAGGTGAAGCACTTCCATAAAGAAGCCAACCTTGAAACCCTCTGGGGCACTTCTCCAACCCAAGCTGCTGTTGCTGTTACGTGTCCTCAAGTCCTTTCAGACTCATAGCAGGTCCCTGTACAGGGTTTCTGAGGAGCGGCTGGTGGCTTTGAATGTCCAGCTTTGCAGTCAGCAGTCCGCACCAGGACTCCATTAGAGTTGATATTAATCAGAATTGACTTCATGGTAATGAGTTTGTTTTTGTCGTCGTTGAGACATTTGAGATGAGTCCAAATGAAAAAAAAGAATAAAACAATGCAAAGAGTCCGTCTCCAAATCAATTTGCTTTATTTAAAACAATGAACAAGTTTCATCCAAGTCAGAGTTAAAAATACCAGTCAAATGGCAGGATCCACAGACATTCCGTGGCAGGCCCCAGTGTGGCTGGGAGCAGAACCAGAGCCAGCTCAGCATTCTGACACAGAACCCTAGTGCCCAGAGGGCAGCCACACTCATCATTTGCTCTGTTCCATCACCCTCAGGCCGCAAGCCCGCGCCACTTCTCCTCCAGGGAAGTCTAGTGGGCTGGAGACAACTCGTTTCGGAACTAACAAGACAGGCTGCACAGTTCATCTGGTTTTTCTGATGCCGTGTGACATCAATTTAACACCTCGACACAGGCCAGGGCAGGGGTGGAAGAGAAACCAGACTCCACAAGGATCCCATCAGCACGCACGACGATGACTTTGGAGCAGAAATGCTTCACACGAGTCAAAGAACCTACAAGTGCGTCCTTACACATCTATCTCTTAGCACTTTTCACAAAGTGGACTGCAAAACCCCCATTCCAGCCCCTGCCCCTAAATCCTATTGAGACTGAACATCTAATACGTTTCTAAAGCAAGCAGCTACCGTGGGGGAGCTCTGATAAACCTGCCCTTGGTCAGGACTTGCTAACTCAGGCCTGTGAACACAGCCCTACAATGCAAGCTCCAGAGGACCGGGGACCGGGCTCTTCACCACTGCCTCCCCAGCTCCTAGTACAGCGCCCAGCACCCAACTGCTACATGCATGAAGTGTTATTCAACAGACAGCACCAAGCATGAGGCAAGATGTGCTGCGAACACCCCAGCTCTCAGGGGCTCTCCCCTCAAAGAAAGGAGCACTGGGTGCTAACGAGAAGATTGGGGGTTTGAACCCATCTGCTGCTCTGCAGGAGAACTGCTTCCATAAAGATCCCGCCTCAGGAACCCCGGGGAGCACTCGGACTCTGTCCCACAGGGCCACTGAATTGGAACTGATGCAATGACAGCCACTGGTGGTTGTACCCCCCCTTCAAAAAGCACCACCTGAAATATCACACAAGTGCGATACCACCCAGAGGCACCTATGTGTGCAAAGAATCCTTCAGGTTGTAACACTGTAATAGCTGCCCTGGCTGGCCTGGATCTGCATTAGTGGCCCTCCCCTTGCTCGGCTTCTCCTCAGTCGGGCTCCCCTGCCCCTCTAGACCCAGCACTGTGAAGGTGAACCATCATCCGAGTAACCCCTACATAAGACTGCAGGTTTTACCCTTCACCAAACTGCTCTTCAGTGCCAGGCAGACATTTGGACAGCTGGGCCCTTGGTCCCTGACTTCTACTTCATCCAGGCCCTCTTGCCACCAGTCCACTCCTCTCCCACTTGGTTCCTGCCTCTTCCCTGCTTTGTGTCACTGTGTGCGTGGTTGGTCCACAGTAACAGGAAATGGGGCAGGGGTGAAACCATGGTCTAGTTTAGAACAAATGAAATGAGTTCCAAAGTTCTCTGGGACAAACACAATAGAAACACAAACAGTAACATGTGACCTGTGTTAATACAAACACATGGGGAGGGGGCTGCGAACCAGTCAGATGGGCTGGAACCCCTGATTCTGGGTGTTGTTTAACAGGGTCACCTTAAGCATCCACAGAAGAAAAACTGGGTAGGCTCATCTTTCAAACTTCCATTCCCTCTCCAGCATCCCAGCTGTGGGCAAACATGTCCTACCACTCCCCCTGGTGGCCAACAGCCTCTTTTTTTTGGTTTGTTTAAACTGAAGTTTAAGGACCAGCTGATATGAAATTGTAAAGTTGGCATGAAGTTGAAGGGGAAATGAATACACGGGAAAACGAAAAACAAAAGAAAACAGCTTTTTGACAATGACAAGAAAAGGTCTTGAGAACAGAACACGAATCAGATATTAAGTATAGGCCAGCCTGGGTTCCAGCCCACTGCAATAGAGCCAAGACTGCAATGACCCATGTAGTTTTGGGCTTCTCAGGGCGTGTAATGGTGATGTGACGCTAGACTGCAGTCTATGAAGTGGGCGGCACCATGATGAAAAAGCCTGAAATACTGTGAGAATGACCAATCCATGACGGAAACACAAAGCCAGCCGGAGCTATTGGGAAGATGGTGCCAAGAAACTTGGTAGCAGCAGGGTTGCCACAGACCTTCCACTTGTACAAGACCCGATCTGCCAAGCACACAAACATGAGATGAGGTGTGTCTGTGCAGAACCTAGTCAGGGTTTACCTGGAGAGGAGGGCCTGGTGGGAGGAACAGCGCCATCTGGAGGCTGACGTGGGGCTGAGGACAGTGCATTTCTACCAACCCAGCCACCCAGCTCGGTGGGGAAGCCAGCCTCCTGAGCCAAGCTGTGTGGCTCAGGAAATGAGAGCGGATCTAACACTGGACAAGGAACCTGGATTCTCCTGGCCGCCCCCATCTCAGGGGCATTTTGAAACGAGCACACACACAATTCTGAAGCACCCACATTGACTCTCCACTCCTCTGGACACTGCATGGCCACCCTCCATCCCCACCCAGATGGGACTGAGCCACCCTTTCATTTTTATCTAAATCATTGAATTTAGGGATAGATTAAGGCAAGCTGGTGAATCAAGAGGGCAGAGATGGAAGCTACTGGTCAATCCCCAGGTGTTCACAGCAGTTATTTATGAATCCAAACAGACCACAAAGACCATAAGCCCCTAACACTCCCATCCTTTGAGCTTACTGCTGGCAGGTTACACGAGCGCCCACTTCATGTTTAAGTCAAGCGTAAAGCACACTGGCAAGCTGACAGCCATCTACTTCTGGCTGGTGTGGTGGTGAAGGCTGGGGCGGGGGGGACAGATTTGCTTGCGCCCCTGTGTACAATCGCCATTCTGTGAGAACTGTATTTAACTAACCCTCAATGTGCTACTGCCCACATACACCAAAACACAAAACAAAACCCCCCACCCGAGTAAAAATACCCCGAGACGTAGCAGCCTCTCTGATGACGGACAACAGATAGAAGCCGGTGATGAGAAGCAAGGGGGGCTTCTCCAGATGGGGACGCGTGGAGCAGTTCAAGTTCACGGCATATCTTGCACACAGTTGGTTGACACGAGGCACGGTCACTGGGGAAAGCTAGCACTCTTCCCCAACGTCCATTCGGTAACTTGGACAGTGGGGCCCTGCACCAGGACGGCTGTTCCCCTGCCTCACTGATGACCAGCAGGGAGACAGCACAGAACCCCCTTATCCACTGTCCTGCCAGCCTTGGGTGTGTCTTGCTTGGGTTTGATGCCTTTTTAACCTTCTTAGTGAGCAGTGAAACAGCATTTGACGGAAGAGAGGAGCTTGGACCAGAGAAGAGTTGTCCAAATTCAAAGACAAAAGAGAAGGTAGGAGCAGAAGAGGTGAAACCCAAGGTGGGGGGGCCGCCAGAGAGCGCACTGGAGCCACCTCAGGGAGTCTGTGCTTGCTCAGGGGTGAGCCCGGCTTCCACAAGTGTCCCTAATCCTGCCAAGGAAAAGTAGAAGCGTCTGTCATCAGCATGTAGACAACACAGGTGTGAGAGCTAGAAGGACATGGTTAAGAGCAGGCCCTTCCCCCACCCCCGAGCCCCACCATGCTGAAGTAATGGGGTAGGGCTTCCTGTAAACAGCGTTCTTACATGTTCATCATCTGCCAGAGCAGATCCACACACCAGAGGGGCTTCAAAAAAGTTCTTGGGAAACCGGAATTAAAAGATAATACAATTTCCCCACAAACTTTTTGAAGCCCCCCTGTATCTAATAAGACAATTTATAGAATAGGGGGAAAAAGCGTACAGTTCAAAGCAGATGAAGAGGCCCGAGAGAAACTGGAGTACAGCAGTGTGAGGACAAGGAGGCCCAACAGGGCAGAGCAACTTCCTTGAGTGAGATCCATGGATTTCACCATGAAATTGTCTCCAGAGAAAAGAGAGAAAAGACTGTGGGTCCTACCTGTTCCTAACTCACAGCGGGCGGGAATCCTACGCACACTAGTGCTTCACTCTTCCCAGCATCCCCTTCTAATGCTACAGACTCATACACTTAAACTAGCATGTCACAACACGGCCCTTGGCATTTCAGGAGGGCAGACACAGGCTAGACTGGGTCTCCGAATCTGTGGTAGCACACAGATGCCCTGAACCACTCGGCCGAGGACTCAGCAGCCGTGGCATGGCACCTCAGAAGGCCCTGGCCACTGTCATCTCCTGGACGTCTGCCCCCAGGGCCACATCAGGGAGAAAGAACAACAGCGGGAAGTTCTGGTGCTCTCAAAGGACGAGAAATTTCAAAGATCTAATAAAATGGGTTCCATTTTTATTAAATAACGTAATGGGTTTCCTTAGCACCGGTGCCACAGATCCCGGCCTTTACTTATAAAACGAGCCCCGTGAGTCTGGCCGAAGAGGGCAGGGCTACGGCTAGGAGGCTGAAGTGAATGGGTGTCCCTCTCCACGGGCGTGCTGAGTCCCAGGCTCCGCTAGGGCCGCCCTTGGGCTGCAGGCACCCGCAGGCTTTCTCCCGGGACCTCCCCTGGTCGGGCGCGGTCACCTGGAGGAGCTGCGCTCTTTGCTGACACAGTCGTCCTGGGAGGTGGTGTCCCCGTTCCCCATCATGCTGCACGTCCTCCGTTTCTTCCTGCGGTGCCCCATGCCATCGCCCTCGGACCCCGACTCACACTGGATGTGAGGGAGAGAGACAGAACATCAGATGGGCACAAGATGCTGCTTCATCCAACTGACTGACCTCTAACCCCAGGAGACAAGCATCGTGCCAAGCCGACATCTGTGGTGACTACACCTCCCCTGAGGATCCTGGCTCCTGGGGAGGCCCACTCACCGCTCAGGTGCCATTACTCATTGAAATCTGCAACCCTGTGGCACTGTGAGCTAAGTGCTGGGTTGCTAACCCCATGTCAGTGGTTCCAACCCACCAGCCACACAGAGGAAGAACGTCTGCTTCCATGAAGCAGTTCTGCATTGTCCAACAGGGTTGCTTGAGTTGGGGGCAACTCAACTGTAGTGTTTTTCTTAAAAGAAAACGAGCCCTGGTGTCACAGCAGTTAAAGCACTTGGCTGCAAACTCAAAAGGCAGCAGTTCAAACCCACCAGCTGCTCTGTGAGAGACTAATGCGGCAGTTGGCTTCTGTAACAACTCCAACCTTAGAAACCCCGTGGGGGCAGTTCTACTGTCCTGGAGACAGAGCTGCTGTGCACTGAATCCACGGGACAGCAATGGTTCTGGGTTTTGGTTTGGTGGTGCAACGGTCAAGGGTTCGGCTGAAGGTTGGTGGCAGAAACCCACCAACAGCTTTTGGGCAGAACAGACCTGGTGACCTGCTGTTAAAGGTTACAGCCTAGGAAGCCTGTAGGGTAACCAAGTCAGAACTGAGCAGATGGCCCCCAACAACAATTCCTGAATGGTTTCAGTCAGCATCCTGAAAATGCACCACGGTAACTGACGGCACCAGGAAGGAAGCGTAGCCCTTGGAACACTCTCGAAACGGAGCAGACTCGTCAGTGGACCGTCTCAGCCAGCACCGTTAGCTCTGATTAAGTCTGGGATCTGCGGGTCAGAATCCTGACACCAATCTTAGCTACTGTGTGCGCGTCAGCCATTTCCTTACTTCAAATCCCCAAATCCCCTTCTACCTCTTGAGGTTATTGATACAACTGACATACTGGGGGGAAGAGGGGCTTCAAAAAGTGAGTGAAAAATTCCGTTAGCTGTCAGTGCCTTTTCCCACATTCTGCTCCAAGCCCCCGCCTGGCATACACATGAATGGCAAGCAAGCTTTGGCCTGCAGCAGGAGTGGCAGTGGGTGAGACCCCCTTGGGTCTTTCCAGCCTTAGGGAGGAGAATTGTCCCGATGGCAGAGCCTGGAGTGAGTGGACCTCACCTCAGAGTCCGAGTCGGACGAGCTGGAGCTGGACGAGCTGGACGAATCGCTGGAACTGTCGGAGGCAATCCCCGTGGATTCCTGCAGGTCAACTGAATCCGCCAAGACCGCTAATTCGGGGTGCTCTTGCTTCAAGATCCTGAGAGGCAAGCAGGCTGTCCTCAGTGCTGTGACGCGCCACAGCCCCACGTGTGCAAGTGACATGCAGAGCCGAGGCACGCATCACTACAGACGCCTAGGAAGGTCAGGCCTTTGCCTTCAGAAGGGGTCCTGGAGAGCCGGGAGTGCGCACAGGCACAGGTGTGAACAGAGGCCACCTCTTCTGAGGGAGACAGCACCGCTCGCTACCGGCAACTCACTCCCCTGGCATAGGAGTTGGCACACAGGCCACGCGGGCCTCAGGGTGGCTTGAGGTCTTGGTCTCCCACCCCCCTTGAAAGAAACAAGTGCCCTGTGCTAGTTTTCTTAGATTAAAAACAAACAAACGTAAAAACCCTTTCCTTTCCACAACACAGCACCTAGTAACGGAGTCAGGTTTAGTGAAGTTCTATTGGGTAAGAGCAGAAGAAAGGAGGTTTGTCAGCAACACACGCTGTCAGAGAACAGAGACAGCGCCCGGCCCCCACTGGACACACAAAACTGAACGGGATTGTGAGGGGCAGCCCTCCCCTTCTGGAACCTAAGCTGGCACCCAGTCATCCATGGAGATGGACTGCTGCGTGGCAAGGCTGGCGGAGTGGCCCACGGGGCAGAGGGACCGGGCCTCTGATGCCCGAGAGTCCAGGGAGAACAGAAGCCACCACCCGTGCTGGCCCTCTCAGCAGGGAGGCTGAACCCTGAACAAGCTGGAACCCCTCTCTTACCCCGAGAGCTGGTCCCTCCAGGTCAGGGTTGGGACACATTGGCACGGGCTGGCTGGGGGTGGCTTGCACTGCCGCTGCCCGTGCGGTATCTGTTCTGTGGATAAACAGAGGAGCTAAGTCTCCAGGGAGGTCACCTCACTCACAAGAACGGAGGAAAAGAAGTTCAACGCTTCTGAGAGAGAAAAAGAAAGAGCCCAAACCAAACCCAAACCAAACCGCTTACATGGATAGTGTTCGCGCTGGGAAACACAAACAAACAAACCAAAAGGAAATAAACCATCCCAGTTATGACCACGGCGTGGCTGGCTCGGTTCACACATGCAGTTTCGACCAGCACCTAGAGGCTGGCAAACACCCTGACAACAAAGCCCTGACCCGGGGAGAGGGAGGCCCACGCTCCTCAACGAGAGCTTCTGTGGCCCCAGCTTTTCCCAGGCTCCTCTAGGATCAGTATGCATTCCTCCGGCAGTGGGCACCTGCCTCTGTTTACCTCTGGGGCAGAGATTGGAACAAAGCAAACCTAAGGGAAATTACAAAAAAAAAAAATAGCTGCTCACCTATACCATTTCCTTGATAACTTTGGCCTCCCTCTTACCGTCTTGTGCCACACCACAGGGAAGTTGGTGCTGCTGGCAAAATTCTGCGTGATAGCAATGGTGGTGTCGAGATTGAGGACGACATGCCACCAGCCTCCTGAAATCCAATGGAGGAAACAGTTACACAGGGTTTGGTTGGAGATACAATGATGACCTCCCTCAAGCTTCAGAAAATGCAGGTTCCTCTCCGTAACGGGGAGCATCAGACACAGGGTCTGGCGTGACAAGCACGTCTCCACTCCACAGACGGGCAAATGACATGGTTTTTATAAAGGACACTTTACTAGTGCACAGCCATGCCTGTCCCGTCACATGGGTCCTCTGGCTGCTTTCCTCCAGCATCGCCACAGAGGGTCTGGCTCGTGAGGCCGAACATATTCACTATTCAGCCCTTTAAACACAGGGCTTGCAGCTCGTTCTAGAAGGCGGAAGATGCATTTTAGACCCTCACTTTCATATACCTTCTGACTAAAAGCAAATGGTTTGTAGGTGTGGGATTGCAGGACTGCTGGAGGCATAGTAGTTACAGCATCAGCTGCCAACAGAAAGGGTGCCGGTTCAAACCCACAAGCCGCTGCACAGGACAACGACGGGGCGGGCTGTCTGCTTGCCTAAAGACTGACAGCTTTGGAAACCCTAAGGGGTGCCCTACTCTGTCCTATGGGATTGCTAGGGGTCAGAATAGGCCTGGCAGCAATGAGTAAGGTAAGCAGTTCAAACCCAGGCTACAGCTCCATGGGAGGAAGGTCTAGCCATCTGCTCCTGTAAAGATAACCTGACGGGGCAGCTCTACTCTGCCACACGGGGGCGCTATGAATTGGGAACAACTCGATGGAAACAAACAGAGGCCCTAAAATGGAATCCTGGTGGTCCAAGCAGTTAATTAGGGTCGCTGTTAACTGAAGGTCTGGAGGTTTGAGTCCATCCAGAGGCACTTCAGAAGAAAGGTCTGATCTACTTTTGGGAAAAAAAAACCAGCCACTGAAAACCCTAGAGAGTGCCACGGAGACAGGTAGTTGCCTTGAATTGAGATCGGCTGACTTCAACTCACCCAGTAACCATACTGTCGCAAGAGTGCAAGTTATAGAAACTGTGTTTACACAAAGACAATCTGGACTACAATCAGTAGGCCTTTTATACATATGAAGGTGCTCTGGTGGCGCTGTAGGATAAGCACTGGACTACTAACTGAAAGGCTGGCAGTTCACACCCACCAGTCGCTCCTTGGGAGACACATGAGGCTTTCTGCTCCCGAAGGATTTACAGCCTCAGAAACCCTACCCAGGGCCTCACGGAGTCAGCTGGTGGCTGTGGGTTTCGTTTTGGTTCTAGACACATAAAGCTCATTATCGCTTTCTATTTAAGGTACTGTCAATGTGGACAGCGGTCCACTAAGTCCTTGAGGGGACAGCCACACATGGGCACCAAGTCAGATCATTTGTAGTCAGCATGCAAGGAGATTTGTTTGCTTTTTGGACTCACTCTATAGCTCTGCTCCATAACGACAAATTACTGAAATCATAGCATGTACTTTCTTCCAGTTCAGGTATACCTGGTACAAAGACAGTCTCTCCTGGTTTCTGTAAGATTTCCAAGGGTTTGAATTCGGGCGGCCAGGTTGGAAGCTGTGTCCGGGGATGAATGATGTTAAACCAGGTAATAGCTTCATCTTGCTGGCTCCCTCCTTCTTCACGAGTCACCTTGATGAGTTCCCTGGGTGTGCTGGTAGGAAACAGACACCAGCGCTTGTGTCCCTGAACTAAGGCATTCCAGGCGCTGGTGCCCAGGGGGTCGATGTGGATTCCTGTTCCTGATCGTGGTGGGCCCATCACAAACCACCTGTTGGATGGGAACATTGAGACGTGAGGACGGATCATGGAAACAAATACACAAGGCGACACATACGCATTCCCTTTTTAGACACTAGTTTATCCCTTGTTGATAGATGCTTCTGATTAACATCCAAGTATCCTCAGAAGAGGCTCAGAGGGGGGAAACACCCGGCCTGCAGGCCGTAAAAGGTCCCGACAATCATTTGGGCTGGCCCTGCCAAGGCAGCCACAGTCCCAGCCATCTTGCTGTTGTTACATGCTGTTGAGTCGGTTCTGACTCACAGCAAACCTGTATAGGGTTTCCAAGCAGCAACTGGTGAGTTTGAACCAATGACCCTGCAGTTCAAACCAGCCTTGTAGTCAAGTGCTTATCCTACAGCGCTACACCAGGACTCCATTCATCACATTATTGTTAAGTGCCATTAAGTTGGTTCCGGTTTCCAAGGAGCAGCTGGTGAGCTTGAACCACTGACTTTGCAGTTCAAACTGACCTAGCTGTCCAATGCATTAACTCGCAGTGCCACGCCAGGACTCCATTGTTGTTGTTGTTGTTGTTAAGTGCCATAGAGTCGATTTCGACCCATACCAACCCTGTATAGGGTTTTCAAGGAGCAGCTGGTGAGCTTGAATCACCAATCTTGCAGTTCAAACGACTTTGCGGTCAAACACATTAGCCCACAGCACCACACCAGGACGCCCTCAGGACTCCATTGTTGTTGTTATGTGCCGTGGAGTTGGTTCCGACTCACAGCGACCCAGTACAGGGTTTCTGAGGCTGTAAATCTTTACAGGAGCAGAAAGCCTCATCTTTCTCCTGTGGAACAGCTGGTAGTTTTGAACTGCTGACCCTGAGGTTAGCAGCCCGATTCGTAACCACTTCGCTACCAGAGCTCCTTCAGGACTCCATTATATATGAGTTATGTTTGCCCAAATATAACAAGCTAACTTTTAAGTTGATAATTTTGTATGACCCGTGAATGATGTTACAAATTTTGGCAGAAAAAAGATTCCCCACCCCTGTTCTCATGAGCGGAACCACTGACCTTCCACTCTGGGAATTAGGTTGGTGGGTGATTATTACTGTTACCTGGTTTTCTTTTTACTAAACATCACTACCACCACCCAGCAGTAGGGGGAGCTGCTACCATCTCCCAGTCAGTTTTCACACCTACACCTCTGCCTGACTTTTGGCATCCTGGTGGTGTGCCTATTAAGGACTGGACTGCCAACCACAAGGTTGGCAGTTCAGACCCACCAGGCTGCTCCTTGGAAACTCTACCCTATGTTGTTGTTAAGTACTACCAAGTCGATTCCAATTCACAGCCTTTCCAAGGAGCAGCTGGTAGGTCTGAACCGCAGACCTTGTGGTTCACAATCCAGTGCTTATCCTATGGCGGGCACCACACAAGGAGTCACAGGAAACCCTAAACAGGGTCGCTGTTAGTTGGAACTGACTACACAGCACTTTTGAATCTAGGCTGTAAGGAGTGGGATGTGCCACTTGGAGCACAGGGACGGGGAGGTGAGGGCTGGTGTGTGGGGGTGTGCGGGTGGGGGACGCGGGGGGACACAAAGTGAGGTTGTTTCAGAGCTCTGACTCAACGTGGATCATAGGCTGCTACTAGAAGGAGACTTTAGCTCGAGGTCGTGGGTCCTCAGAGGAACCTACAGGCCTGCACTTGGAATCTGACAACTCTTTACAACTCTTTAGGCAAAGCAGGGTAGCTACCAGCACAGTGCTCAGGCCCGATTAGCAGCTGCTGAGATTAAGTAGAAGCCCCACAACCACATGACAAAAGCCTGACTTATTTGGTTCAATTAGATAATGGGCCGGGGCCAACATTTTTTCTAGAGATCACACGGAATTCTGGTACCCAGAAATGTTTTGTGAGTTGCCCAAGGACAATACCTTGACAGATAAAAGGCAGATCACACATGGCAGTGTTTGCTGTCAGCTTTCAATAATTAGAACATCCCTTAGGCACCAGTGGTTCCATTTTGCTTGAAAACCAAGAATCCTGCAGGGCTCAGGAAGTTGGGGCTCCCTGGCAGGAGGGCCCCTAAGCAAGTTCCATGTGGAGCCGAAACTGAACCACTCACTAATTTTGGGAGAAGATGAGCTGATTGAACTCACAAAGAAAAGAAATTGCAGGTTACCTATCAGAGATACTGCCATAGGTGCTTTACCTGTAAGGGGGCCTGCGTTTCTCCCCAGCATACTGGAACAGGTCATCGGTGAAAAACTTGGGCACTGTGTAGTCTTCCAAAAGTTTCCTTCTTTTGGGGTGCTCACCATAGCTGCTGTCAAAGATGTAAAGGGGGCTGTCGTCTCTGGTACTCTCCATGTACTCGATGTAGTATTTCATCTTCATCTTAACGGAGTAACCATCATTATCCTCGCCGCACTTGAACTTCTGATTCCTGTACTTCCTTTTGAGGCGTTCCAGAGTCCACTTCTCCTGGGCCGACCAGCCCTCTTGAGCGTTCAGCAGAACCACCGGCTTGTAAGGTCTTTCGTAGCGCTCTACAAATTCGTCCACCGACAGCTGCAAGGCGTCTGCTCTTTCCACGTTGTCCTGGGGGAATGTGAAAAGACTCGACCAGTTAATAAAAAAGTCGGGCAGCAAGATGAATAAGTCCCCCTGCGCCAATTAGCAATGACACACCTATTCAGCCAGACTCTTGGGGGAGGGAAGGCCCACGTGCGTGCGAGCACGCTGCCATCTACCGCCACGGGGCTTCGCGAGATCGTCCACCCACGAGGCCTTTGCCAGGTGGGGGCCCCGCCGCCCAAGGGGGGTGCGGGCTGACGGACATTCTTGCTAGGGGCGCCAAAGGCGGGAGGCTGTAGTCGCCCGGACAGGCGAGTGGCTGCGGCACGGGGTCCGGGCCTCGGGGATCCCCGGGAGATGTCCCCGCCCGGTCCCGCGTGCCCGGCCCGCTCACCGCTACGGCCGCCGGGTTCAGCGAGAAGCTCTCGTAATAGTTGTGCCGAGTCCAGTCCAGCGAGTCCTTCAGTTCCGGCCGCGCACTCCGCTTGGCCTCGCGGATCCGCTTCTTGCTCTTGTGGTTCATCCTGCGGGGTCACCAGATGGCTCCGCGACGACTTAGGACGCAGCTCGCTTCCAGCCACCAAGGTGCAACCCCACCCCCCCACTCCAGGACCGGGCGGAGGTGGCGGCCCCCAAATGCCCTTCGCGTTAGGCACGGCGCCTTTAAAGTCGCCTTCCAGAAAATTCACTTCCTAACCACCTCCCCAGCCTCGGGTTGGGCGCGTGGCGCCGTTTTCCCCGCCCCCTAGCCTCTCGCGGTCATCCATTGGCCTCCGCGCCTGCAGAACCGCCCTCAGCCACACCAGACTCCCGCCATATTGAGAAGGTCCAGTAGAGCGAGCAGCGGCACCGCACCCTCTTGCGCCGGCTTCCGGTTGCGTCATTTCCGTCCGGGCCTACTGGTTTAGCCTCATTTTTCTTGTGTCTCGGTTGGCTTGATTTGGGTTTGTATGCGCTAGGAGCCCGGGACGCCCACGTGGAGCTTTGCTTTTTCTCGCCGGGCTGTAGCGAGCAGGCGTTGACCGCGGAGGCCCACGTGGCGTCTGCATGGCGGCCCCACGCGGGCCCGCGGATTCTCGCACACGCAGCCTTGCAGCCCGGCGCCCTTCGCTACCCCCTGTCGTCCCGGGGGCTTCCGGCGTCGCGTCTCCTGGGGAGCGCGGCTTCCAAGGGCTTGTGATCAGGGCTCAGCGCTTTCGGTTCTCGGAGGAGCCCGACCCAGGATCCGAGGGGGCCGTGCTAGAGGTTCACGTCCCGCAGGTGCGTGCCGCCGGCCTGCGGTGCCTGTGCGTGCCCGACATGGGATAAAAGCGGTTCTAAGCAGAGATGTGGGTGGGGAGAGGACTCTAAGCTGCGTAAGCTGCTTTCATTAGGTTGGACCGGAGAACAAAAAGGTTTGAAACCTTTTTTTGCAGATTAACTGTCTTTTGAGGGGAAAATCTAGGGACTGCCTGGAGGAGGCGTCTCCCCACCGAGTATTTCCAGCCAGTAAAGTGGCATTCATGACATCTAATGCTTTCTTTGGTCTTGGAGAGCTTCCTAATTCAGTGTTCTCATCACTTTGGTGTAAGTTTCGAGACAGGCGTTCCAACACCCACTGTCAAGTTTCTAGGGTTGGCGCTCACTGCCGTCACAAAACAATAATAGTAACCTATGTACGTTGCACTTTTTACCTGGGAGGAAGCCATTTAGTGGTAACACTTAAACAAGGAGGTGGAATCCATTTGTTAGGCTCCAAACACCTTCAACTTGAAATACTTTTGGGTTACTTTCCAAATTGAAGGGTGAAGCTACTTCCTGTGAGAATACACGCGATTTCTCCTTACACCTACATCCGCGCACAGCTCGTGCTCTCACATCCGGTCAGAATCCTTCCCTGGCTCGTCATTGTGCGGCTGGGTGACATCCACTTGTGGATGGTTTTGCTCCCACTATTCCTACACTTAGAAGAGGGCCCGGCGTGGTTTTAGACGCTGATGTTTTTGGTTGAAGGGACTCCTAGGACAGTAGAACAAAGCCCTCCACCACTGGTACTCCTGCCTCTTCAGCTCCCCCGCCTACCACCCCCGCGTAGCTTCAGATGTTAAGACCTGCAGCTTCTCAGGTTCCTAATCGTGGAATCTGAGTGCCTCTTTTGTGCCTGACACTGTACTTACTAAATGGTTTGCAGTTTAGTTGATCTTCTTTCCAGTCATCCCCTGAGAGCATTTTGCCATTGAAGAAACAAGCACAGACAGTAACTTATTCAAAGTCACACAGCTAGTAAACAAGTCTGGAATTTGAACCCAGAAGGCTCCCTAGTGGTGTGAGCTTTGTTCTGTGACCCTCCTAACCACCAGACTTGTAAGATTCTACGCTTTTCCAAAGGCTTCTTACTTCCTAACTTCAGAATTCTTCACAGATCTCTCTCCCTATGGAGTAACTTCCTACAAGGTCTGGCCTCTTAGTCAGACCCTCAGTTGCTCAGCCATCTGCTCTTTATGTCTCCATGCAGTGAGGCCTTTCCCTGAGTAATATTCTTTGGAAGCTCCCTGAAATAGTACCGTGCTTCACACGGTTTGCCGAAGCTGTGCTCTTCTGGCAGTCGATCACCAGGCCTTTCTTCCAAGATGCTTCTGAGTGGACTTGAGCCACCAATCAGCAATTAAGAGTTTATTCTTACCTGTCACCCAGGAACTACTTACTCTCACATCACCCCGTTGGGTTGTAGCGTGTATCAGTAAATTACCATAACAAACTTGTGGGTCTCTTCACAGTAAGATATATGCTCCATGCAGAGACCTTGTCTTCCATAGCTACATGTTCCAGCACTGGAGAAAACGCTTGTTGAATGACCCTAAGGGGAAGTTTATCATATGAAAGGGAGTCCTGGTGTGGCACTGTGGGCTAGTGCACCGCACTGCAGTCAGTAGGTCTAGCTCACCAGCCACTCCTTGAAAACCCTATACAGCATCACTATGAGCCCGGCACTTAACATGTGGTTATGGTGAAGTGCCCTCAAGACGGTTCCAACTCATAGTGACCCTGTGTAGGGTTTCCATGGAGCCGCTAGTGTGTTTGAACTGCCAACCCTGTAAGTTATTAGCAGCAGCCCAGAGCTTATTTTGACGTAGTGCTGCGGGTTAATGCGCTGTACTGCAAAGTCGTTTTGAACCATAATGTTGGCAATTCATGCTCTCACCGACTGCAGGTTGCTATGGGTCAGAACAGACTCGAAGGTGCTTGCCACCACCAGGATTCCTATCATGTGGTATTGCTGTTAAATCTTTCTCTCTCCCTGTAGGTTGTGAACTGGAGAGCAGAGACTACCATTTTTCCCTCCTTTAAAATTTGTTTTGTTGAGGATGTTCAAAGCAAAACCACCAATTCACCTGTTTCTACATGCAGAATTTAGTGATGTTGATTACATTCAAGTTATGCTAGCATTCTCCTTTTTCGAATTGTTCCCTCCCCATTAACACAAAATCACTGCCCCTGCAAGGGTCCTAGCCAATCTTTACAGTTGCTTTCACTTTGATCCCCTATCCTTCCTAAAAGAGCACGGTGCTCAAAAGGCAAGTATTTTATGCTAGTTAAATGAAACTGTTGTTTGGTTTTAATAATATACTAGTTGAAGTTTTCAAAGTATCTCAGGGCAATAGTTTTAGGGATTCATGTAGTTTACATGTCTCCCGAAAGTCTGGACTCCATGACATTCTGGTCTGCATTTCCCCCTTTTGGATCGGGATTCTTCTATGGAATCTATGATTGCAATGTTCAGGCACCATCCAGCTCTGACCTCATGACTAAAAGGCAGTTGTTCATGGAGGTCATTAACCACGCCTTCTGTATCCTCTGATTCGAAACTTATTTTCCACTCTTGCTTCAGGTAGAGACCAACTGTCCTGCCTTGGCTCACCACTTGCAAGCTTTTCAGACCCAGGCACTACACAACAAACTATAAGGTAGAACAGTAGCAATGAACACAGTAGACCAATTAATTGGGATACGGGATTGTCTGAACTCACAAATGCTATATAAATATCCCAGTTTCCAGAAGGTATTTATGGTAAACAATGTTCTATCTCCGCAGGTCTTACATCTCCAATATGGAATGTACGTTTGGCCCTGCGCTGTGGTCTTGGCCCAGTACCTGTGGTTTCATAGGAGGTCTCTGCCAGGCAAAGCAGTATTAGAGGTAACAGTGGCCTTGTAAGTTTACAGAATCCTAGTTAATGGTCAGATTTGTGTATATAATGCTTGTCATTGGCTTTTGCTGAATGTTTTTACAATAAAAACCAGTCTAATAAATCAAGGGTTGGTTTAGGGCACACCTTGTAAGTTGTGAACTAAAAAAGGCTTCCTACATTTTGTGTTAAAGACATTCTAAGCTCCTTTCTCACCAGTCCACCTGACTCAGGACTGTAGAAGGCTGTTTTTTCAAGTGTGCCCAAGTAGTAAAAATTTGAGTGCCAGCACCTCCTTGGAAACGTAGTTTTAGAGTCAGAATCGACTCAAGGGCACTTAACATGTATTTCAATCAATATAATAGTGATTCATTTTTTATTCAGGAGCCTATAAAAAGGCTCTATTGCCAAGAATACTTCAACAGTAAAACCAAGTACTAATTCCAAATTTGCCAATTTCATATTGTAAGTTTTTATCCTAAGGGCCAAGTATTATGCTAATTTCAGGGCACTTGGTCTAAGGGTCTAGAGAAAAACCTAGTTTGTTTTCAAAGCTAACATGAAAAGGCCTCTTGAATCCAAGGCCCTGCTGAAGACGCTGGGCTTTACCCAGAGGTCCTTCCGTCTTTGATTACCCAGTACTACCAAATGAGTTGTTTGCAAACCAACCAACCTGCCCATCTTTTCTACATAAAAGCAATTTTTATTTCTGAAAACAGTAAACTGAAATGTTTGACAGCACACAAGTGTCCCCAAGCTTGCCTGTACATCCTTAATAGTTAAAAAACAGATCACTTGCAATAATGCATTTAGGCACAGAATCACAGACCCTAGCTGTTTAACTGCTAAGACTTCAAAGCCCAAGCTGTTTTCATTTAGTGGTGTGCAGGTATAGGGACTTCACAGACATGCCAACTTCAAGCACAAGACCTCTAACTTTTGCACTACTGTATCCCCACATACCTCTGAAAACCCAACTTCAATTCTTAGATTGGCGCTGGCGTGAGCCTTCCAGGAATTGTGGCTGCAAAATGTGGTGCTAAAGTGATACTGTCGGACAACTCAGAACTGCCACACTGCTTGGACATCTGTCAGCAAAGCTGCCAAATGAATAAGCTGCCACAAGTCTGTGTGGTAGGGCTAACATGGGGCCTCATCTCTCCAGATCTTCTGGCTCTACCACCACAAGACATCATTCTTGCATCAGATGTATTTTTTGAACCAGAAGGTAAGCAATTTGCGCTTTTCAAGCAAAAAATGTGGAAATGGTAATGTGAAGTGTTGTCTGAATTATCCTTTCTTGCTAGACTTTGAGAACATTTTAACTACGGTATACTTCCTGATGGAAAGGAATCCAAAGGTCCAGGTGTGGTCTACTTACCAGGTTAGAAGGTAAGCACTGTTTACTCTCAGTTCGTTTAGAACTGAACCCTTGCCATTTATACAGTACCCTAAAGAAAAACAGGAAAGGTGTGGTTTTTACAAGTTTATTTGTTTTAGTGCTGACTGGTCACTTGAAGCTCTGCTCTACAAATGGGACATGAAATGTATCTGCATTCCTTTGGAGTCTTTTGACGCAGACAAGGGAGATTTAGCCGAGTCTGCCCTTCCAGGAAGACACACTATTGAAATGCTCATCATCTCCTTTGCAAAGGACAGTCTGACTTACACCTGAAAGTGGTGTAGGAGTGGTGCGGTAACTATGTTAAGACCAATTAGTGTGGTCCAAACCTGCCACCCAGCAGGCCATTTGCAACTTCTCAAGGTTAGGGGTTTGAAGATGTTAAGTCTGCTGGCTTTCAATTAGTAGGGGAAAACTCATGACTCATGGATAACAGGACATGAATGTAAAAATAAAAGACCTATTTAAACAAACAAACAAACAAAAAAGGCTTGGATTGATTGTATTGTTCTTCAGTCATTAAAGAGGGTAGATCTTAAGGGTGGACATTTGGTATTATTACAGGCTGTTCACCCACCATTTCCACTTCTCTTTAACATAAGAAATCAGCTACTAAACATTTCACTTTCATACTACCAATACACTCAATGACATTCACAAGGTGAAAGTGTTCATCAAGTCATTCAACTGAGGGAATAAAAAAAATCCAAGACATGTTCTGAGAAAAGCTAACACCAAGGAAATGTTTTAATTAAACTACAGAAACAATGGTTATAGTACAGAATATTCATAAGCGAAAAGATACACCATGTTATAAGTACTTACAAAGTTACAAACCATTTGCTTCCTTAACATTTTTTTTTCCCCCGGTATTTTAAGTTCCATACATGAAGATGATTGGATTGACCATTTTGGGGGAGTGAGGGGGGAAAAAAATGTGTATTTATCATCGGCTAGATGTGCTCACTGTATGCTCCGTTATTTATATGCAAGGCCCGGGTGACTGGAAGTGCAGTTGTCAGGCATTTTAATAAACTGGACACAGCCATTTGTCTCTGCACGACAAGGCAGCTTTACACAGGAGCAACCAGGAGCCAACAGGAAACAGCCAAGCACTCTGCACTGCAACACGCCACCTTAACAGCTAACCAGCATTACTCAACTGCTACACAACTGCGCCTAGTGCACAAAAATACACAAGAGAAGAGATTAGAATTGTGTGTGGTAAACAATCCTTCCAAAATATCAAGTCTTTTCACTTGAAAAGTCTTTACACACATTTGGGTTCCGATTACCATTTAGGTCTGAAGGTAAATAGCATATACAAATTTACACCAGCTTTTGAAGGTTTTTGTTTGGTTTAATTTCTAAGGAATGAAGGCATTGTTGAGTCAATTTCTTGACAGCTTTAGGCTACTCAGCAAGTAATGGCTGCACAGGTTCCCTTACAAGTCAGGAGGCCACAAAATAGGTTACCAATCTGTTTAATTTCAAACAAAAAAAGTCAGCACTATATAAACAGAAATGAAATTTTACCTTAAATATCCAAGGCAATAATGAAATCTGAAGTCGTTCACCTCACTAAATTACAAGAAATTTGAAATAACAGCAACAAAATGGCACACAAAATGAAGCCTGCCACCTGAGGCCAAGCTTTAAAACAAGTAAAGAGTTAGACAAATGTTACAAAATAACCTTTTCAATAGCCAGTTGCTTGTTCCAACGACTCTTTTCTTGGATGGACTGAGTATGTGTGGTCCTTTCGCCCCAAGTCCTCCGTCTTTATGTTGCTTGAGATATCTAGGTTTGAAAAGAAACACGGTCAGCTTACCTGCCAGGACTGAAGGCTCCCCAAGTGCACGTGGCTTCAATATCAGGCATGTACTTCAGGCATTCTCTAAGGCTCTGGTGAAACAAGTACATTACAGGAAGGTTCCACCCAGCCAATTAGGAAAAATTCAAAGGCTACCAAGGCTACCAATCAGCATTTTACACGTCTGAATTTGTGTACTGTTGGCCAAATAATCAAGGGTTTTAAAAATACAAAGATAATGGGAAGAAAAAGGGTGGGGGAGGCTGTATTAAAAATAAAAGCGTAAAAAAAAAAAGCTTAACTAAATACCAGAAAAATTGGTTTTCTACTGGGAGGCAATTTAGTTCGCAAAGGACACCATTTGGCAATGAGTTCGTGTATGTATAGAGTAGCTTAGTGCTTCACTATCTGAGTGACTTAGGGCCCTTTCCAGTGCGGGAAGAAGGGAAAAAAAAAAAAAAAAAGGGACCAAACAATTGGAGTTAAAGACACACTATCCTTCTCCCCACCCAGCGCAATACCTGTGCAACTTTTGGTTTTGGGGGTAATTCCAAAAATTACGGGGTGAGGGAGCGCAGCAATTCCTTATGAAGTGCCACTCGGTTGTCACCTCCGCTAGAATAAGCAAGTCCCCGGTGCTCCGTGCGCGCGCTGACGGCTGGCCTTTGCTCCGCTAAGGATAGTGCCTCTTTAACGCGTAAGACAAACCTGCTCCAACACACGCCCACAGAACCGGTCCCTGGCGGCTCAGCCCACTCAGTTAAAATCTGCAATACTGGCCCACTCTTTTAGCAACCAGGAGACCGCAGCTTTAAGGGGGAAAATGCAGACGTTGGATCAAAACAGCAAGAGAAGTCACTAGCAGCCGTCGCCGCCGCCGCCGCCGCC